GGACCCGTCTAATACCCAGCACGTAGCACCCGCTTGATACATTTGATACATTTGAATCATTTGAAAGAGTCGGGGCCAGCTAGTGTTTCTCAAAATGGACGGACAAAAGCTGACATTTTGAGGCAACTGAGTGAAAACCTTCACGGCAATTTGGGTCCATTATAAGGCGTTATACAATATGTATGACGTGCTGACAAAATGAGTTACTTCTCGTAATCCACAAAGGCAGACATTGGTCAAAAATTGACATTAGGATCAAATTTGTAGATTTTCTATTGATGCAATATTCTTTAACTATAACCTGTCTTCTATTATTTCATACTTATAAATTGTAAAACCTTCACCTGTAAGCGTGATGTATCTATTTCCTAAAGGTTTGAATCCGAGAAGTCATTCATTTTGTTAGCTCGCTTCACATTTGATTCATTTGACAGTGTCAACTAGTATTTGCCGAAATAAACGGACAAAAGCTGACATTTTGACGCAACTGAGTCAAAACCTACACGGCAATTTGGATCTATTTAAAGGTGCTCGTCTCTGAAGCGGAAAGTCCGGGTTCGAGCCTCGGTTCGGACACGAATTTTTAAATATTTTTCCCCCTCCTGCCTACCCACCCAGTAGTAAAGGGTACCTAACTTCAAGTTGCGGAAGTAAAGGCGGCGTGGAAAGGAACTAGCCACCCTACCACAATACGCCGAAGGCCCAGGAAATTGTCTCACTAACAAGACAATCCCCAATGTCCGGAGCGGGTGCGGGAACAACTTTACTGTTTGAAAAGGTGTTATAAAATGTATATTATTGGTTGTGATTAAATTCTCGTTAGTTTTTTTTTACATGCACATCTCCTGTATTATTAGGATTCAGGACGTTCCGTCAGATCATCGATATCATGATAGTCTATGGTGCGGAGGGCTGTGGTTCGAATCTCAGATTAGGTGTCTGAACCTTGGACCCCAAGTTGGGGTGTTTTGGAAGTTTGCAATAAAGGCTTTTCTTCTTGTACTTGGCTCTGTTTCACCGAAACTAGACTTTTTTCATCAGAGGTCTTGCTTCGTAGATGACTGATAAAACTTTCACTGTTGAAAAGGGTGTTATGGTTTAAGTTTTAGAAAGCGTTTTACGGCACTTGCAACACAATTTAGTCATATAAGTGCTGAGCTGAAGACCAGAGGTGTTACGAGAAAGTGACAAACATAAAAAAAAAAATGAGGAGAGATTGAGGGGGGGAGGGAGGAGGGAGGGTAAATGTTTGTTTTTAATTCTCTTTTCTTTTAGTTCTTTTATTTCTACTCTACTCTACTCTGCGCTGTGGTTTTAAGTCTAAAAAGCACCGATAAATTGCCACTTCCAAAAGCTTTGATCTTGACTGTCAGATAAAAGCTGACTGCAGACGGTGCCGTTGTCGTAAAGAGATTCAAATCATTCCCAAGAAAAAAGGCAATTGTTTAAAATGTCTGATTGAATAATGGCAACGACATTTTACAACAAACAGACCCATCAAGGACACTCTAGGGAAACGCAGGCTTATTCAACTCCAGTTCCCTCCCTCTAATATACCACTATCTTTCTCTCTCTCTCTCTCTCTCTATCTCTCTCTCTCTCTCTCTCTCTTTCTCTGTCCCTCTCTCTCTGTCCCTCTCTCTCTC